GGCGCTTTCCCGATTGGACATCCGAAAATTCTTGTCGGACAAAAAGAGTGCGCCTCGCTCATCGGAGCGATGCCCGGTGTCGATTTTTCCGCGGTCGAGGGGCTTGTGCGTTGTAGAGAGCTCCCCCCGCGCAATCTCTTTCACCCTGTACTCCCGTACCGCGTGCAGGACAAACTGTTGTTTGCCTTGTGCCGCAGTTGCTGCGAAATCTTCTCGCAGACACAGTGCTCGCACGAAAATCCGCGGGATCGCGAATTCGAAGGCGTGTGAGTATCGTGTGAATTACGCAAAGCTGTGGAGAAGGGTTATCTCGTGACTGCAGTGAGCGAAATATGGCANTACGAGACGAGCCGATACGACGCTGATACGCGTCAGGGGGGATTATTTGCCGAATACATAAACTGTTTTCTGAAATTGAAGCAAGAGGCGAGCGGATGGCCGAACGAATGCGTGGACGACCAATCTAAGGAACGATATCTTCGAGAATACGAAGCAGTCGAGGNTATCGCTCTAGATAGAGCAAACATTGCGCAAAATCCGGGTTTACGTTCGGTCGCAAAGCTGTGCCTCAATTCGTTTTGGGGAAAATTCGGACAACGATCAAACTTGACGAGTACCGAGGTGGTAAAATCGCAAGAACGTCTCGTATCGCTATTGTCGAGCCCCGAGCACGAGGTAACCGATATATTACCTGTGAATGACGAGATAATATATGTTTCGTGGCGAATGCGGAACGAGGCGGTCGTACCCTCTCCGATTACCAATGTGATAATAGCGGCGTACACGACGGCACAGGCGCGATTGAAACTGTACTGTAAGATTATTCGATGTGCGGCGCCACATACCGGGTGGCTGCGATTGACGCGCTGTTAGCGATAGCGTTTGCGAGCGACCGCGTGCACGCGAAAAGCACGTGGCCGTATGAAAATTCGGAAATTCGAGGAGCGAACGTGTGCGTGCTCCGAAAAACCGGGACACTCCTGTTGTAACGGGCGGACCGGATGGTCGCTAAGGAGCAGTCGTGCCGTGTGTCGAAATTTATTGTAATAAGAAGCCGGTCGTATCGCCTGAGCGGACCGAGCAGTCGATTTGTAACATAAACGAGTATTTTAATGAAATAAAGATTTATGTGATCTAGTGCATTGGAATTGGAGTGTCGAGATAATTTATTGAATTTACACTAGTCATTGTCGTGATACGTAAAGTCGTGTCGAGCCGTTGGTTGCTTGTCGTGTCGTGCAGGGGACAAGGTGTCCTTGGCTTTTGTAACTTTGGTTTGTTTCTATTATTCGGTCTTTGTTCTCTGGAAGTGCCGGTTATACGGACAATGAAAACAGCCGTGACTTTGAAGTCATAACACGGTTAGGAAAGTCGAAAAACATATTGAGTGAGTCGTTCTTCGCCGTTATCGCGAGTTGACGAAGAAAAATAAAATTGAAAATAATATTCTGAAATTAGACGGTGAGTTTTCAGTACGAATATTTAGAACGTTTAGGCGAGCGCGTTCTTTATTACGATACAGATTCGTGTATTTATGTGAGCAGCGGAGAACCCGGCGAATACGAACCGCGTACGGGAAATTTCCTTGGTGATATGACGGACGAGCTCAAAGGCTACGGCCGTGGTAGTTACATCGAGTCGTTTGTATCCGGTGGCCCGAAATTTTACGCGTACGTAGTTTGTACTCCGGACGGTGGCGCGCGGGAGGTGTGTAAAATCAAGGGAATAACTCTCCAATTCCGCAACCTCCCGCATAATTAATTTCAATAGCGTTAGGAAAATGTTAATGAGAAGAGAGAAAAAAGAAGAAGAAAATGTGTCGATAAATCTGCATTTTAGAGCGATTCGTCGCGTTTAACGAGGTTGTGACGCGGGACGAATCAAAAATCTGCTCGCCGGTTTTGCTGAAGCGTAGATTTATCGACGAGCGATGCTCCGTTCCTTACGGCTACTTAGAATAAGACTTTTTCCGCGCATTCTCTTGTAAATAGTTTGTATATTTTAAACGTAAGAGTTAAAATTGTATATATGTTTTCCGTCCAAATAAGTCATAATGTAAGCAAGCGCTTTGTACAATAAAAGAAAAATATTATTTTAACAATTGTGTGTAAAAATAAGGTTATAAAATGCGAGATTTTCTGTACATGTTAGTAGATTAAGCAATATGTATTTTGTAAAACGTAATATTTTAGTGTTATTAAATTTTTATTAAAACAAAATTAAAAGATTGCTTTTTCCCTGTTCCTTAGAAACTTTTTGGTATAACCTCAACAAAAAGCTATAAGCTTGGCGCGCGCGCGCGTTTGACGAGCGTAACGATATCGATGTATCGATGTATCGATTACTACAATATGTGGCGAATCATCTTAGCAGTATATTTGCAAAATTAATTTCAAAAAGAAATTGTTCAATAATTGAGAAAAAAATTTCAGCTATGTGATGTTTAAAATATGTAGAAATATAATTGCATATGAAGAAATTAACTTAATTCATGTATATACTGTAAGAAATCCGCCGTGCGGCGCCACGTTACGGATCACAGCGGTTATCACGCGGTGCGTCGTTGAAACACACGTGTTCTAAGGGTGCGATCCCATGCAGTTATATTTCGCGTAACGCGTATCGCGTAACCAATCAGAGACGTTCCGCGTTTTCTTTACGCCTGTGTCAAAAAGTCACGTACAATTCGAACGTATTACGCGCGTTTGCACCAGTATATATGTGTGAGTGCAGAGCATGCAGAGTTCGACATAATCAATATGGAGGTTAGTATTTATTTATAAAAACTAAAATATAAAATTTTTTAAGTTATTAAAACATCAGATGAAGTAAAAAATTAAAACTTATAATATAATATTATATGATCAATATGTAATATAATTATTATTTTTTATAGCACATTCGATGTGGTTATTGTAATTGGTTGATGTCAAGTCAATGTGAAAATATTTTAGACCACACATGTTTTAAAGGATATAATGATGAAACAGATGCTGTACACATTGACGAAAATAATACAGCTATTATTGGTAAGTTAATATATAAAGTTAATATATAATACATCAACAGTTCCAAGTTTTGAATGCTTATCCGCTTCAACAGTTAATTCATCCAAAAAAAGTATAAATGTATAATTATATATATGAATTATATGTTATATTTTAATATTTTCTCTAATATTATCAATTCTATTTACAGGACGAAAAGAGTACAATCTATCACAAGAGTTACAAAAAGCTTTATTAGATGTTTTAAAAATACCTATTCCAGACATTGATGCTATAGATGGTTTTTTGAAAACTTTAGGAGAGGCTTTACGTCGATTGCCATACCAACAAAGAGTTATGTTACAAATTAAATTTCTTCAAATGACTACAGCAGCAGAGTTTCAAAACTATGATGACAATAATTAAAACTATGATGACAATAAGTTATATTACTCAAAGATATTTTTTTAAACCAAAAAATGATTAGAAAGTTATTTTTTATTAAAAAAAAATTATTTTGTTTAACCAAAGAAAGTTACTATATATATATATAAGTTATAAAACTATAAAATAAGAAATAATTATTATGTTTGTAATTATTTTTATTGGTAAATATATATAATGCACATTATTCATAGTTGTGAAATACATATATTTATTGTATGTAAAATACATTATACACTACATATTGATGGCAATTATTAACTTAAAAAAAGTTAAATGTTGTATTTTTACAATCTAAAACTATGAGCAACATAAAATAATGAAACACAAATACTGGGTTTATTTCATTTTTTCTACTAAAAGTAGAAAATTTTAAAGAATAAATGAGACATTATCAAAAGAATTATATTTCTATAATGATGAAAAATTCAATTATTTATCAATTATTTTAAAAGTATACAAGAAAGTATAACACGCATTTATGTACTTAAGACTAAATTATATATATTTCTAAGCTAAATAATGCATATAATACATATATATATATACATGTGTGCATTTACGCGCAATTTATTTTCCTTTGTTCACATGGATAAAAAATTTGCGTACTAGATACACGCGTATCCAATGAAGTGCAACGTTTAGTATTTCTGTTCAAACGTTCCAAGAGAATAGAACAATACTATTGGTTATACACGTTACGCTGCTGCTATTTTATGTTCCATGTGAACTAAGGACATTCAATTTCGCGTAATATAAACCACGTAACCTCTCTGATTGGTTACGCGTTACGCGTTACGCGAAAAATAACAGTGCATGGGATCGCACCCTAACACGCTTTGGGCACAGGGAAATTCCGGCGAAACCGATCCTGCCCCAAAAGGCACGAAAGCGAAGGATCACTCTCGTGCGGATTTGCGTAGAGATAAGTCGCGAGCAGGAAAAGATCAAAAGACTCTGAGTTGAAATCGCGTGCGAGTAACACGTAGAGTGCCAAAGATCAGATCCTTGATCGAGAGAGTAAGTCGAGCTCGTGGAGTCGTCGGAAAGATAGCCAGGCTGGTATTTATAATATTATTAATTAAGTGGAAATAAAGAAGTGTAATTGATTTACTGAACTCTAACAGTGTCGTAATAATTATTGAAAACCTGGCTTGTGTCGTTTGTCGAGTTGAAAGGTCGATGGTTGTTGTCGAAGTCGACCTTGGTTTTTCTGTCGAATGTTTGTCGGTTTTGGATCCGTGTTTGCGGGTCGTGTTTGAATATTCACAACGGACGATTTTGAAATACGTAGATGATCGAATCGGTGTAATAATTTTGAAACATATAGACAAAAATCGAAAATTTCTTACAATACTTAAGAAAATGCATAACGACTCTCGCAATTTTTGACAAATATTATTTACAAAATCTTTTATTTCGACAAAACTGTTGCGTTATGGCGAATCATCTTAGTGCAATCATTGCAAAATCGTTGGTATTCATGATGTCATTTTTGTGCAATATTTTCACAATTTAGGGAAGGAAGCCTCGCGAAATGGAAAATTCTGATTTTAGTGAAACTTTGCACACATATAGAGAAGGTCAATAGATGAATATTGACATATTCCGTTGAGGCTCAAAAACGATTTTAAGAGGGGTAAAATCACCCCTTATATATACATACCGACTTTTCACTTTTTCAATTTATTTCGAAAAGTATCGGAGATATCAAAAAATGTTTAATACAAAAGTTTCATTTAAAAAAGTTCTCTACTTAACTATATTAATAAATGTTTTAAAAATTGAAAAAATTTTGTTAAAAAATAATTTTTCTAAACATCCTAAAAACTTGACTCCCCGCGAATCACCTTTCACCCGCTCCTTCTCGAGAATCCACTCTCTCTCTCTTGCCTTACCGGAATCTGAAAATTCCGACGACTCGGATATAGAAATAGAATATGAACATCTCGCGCACCTCGTTTTTTTCTCTTGCTCGATGATGAAGATCCAGAATTAATAGATCACGCATACGCTTAAGAGGATGCTGAACAGCTGGCAAAAGTTCGCTCAGCTGCTACTCAACCGCTATGCTATCGGGTAGGTGGCGCCATCTCTCGGGACCGAATCAAACCAAAACAAGGATAGATGACATGAGAGAGCCAAGGATAGACATATGTTTCTCTCTGACGCTTCTGCTAAAATTGTACTAATCGTATTTCCAAGTTTTCTTGTCTCACAAGGCTTCAAAATCTTTTTTGAAGCACTCAAAATATTCGTCTATGTTTCTAGTTTGGGATAAACGTATTTTTATTTGAATTTATATGGCCAATTTTGCATATAAAGTAAAAATGTAGTTTCTGTAATAACAGTCTAAAAACTTTTTTTTGTTTTTCTTAAATTTTTAGGCTTTATCCCATTCTTTACTATATTTTTTTTATTTCTGAAGAAGCATTTTTTATTCCGATTCATAGTTTTCACAAAACGTTGGAAATACGAAATGATGGTAAAACAGGACGGTTCAGCATCCTCTTAATCGGAAGTCGATCACGCAGCCCCTCCTGTCTACACGCTTACAACACGGACACAAAGAATAACATGAAGAATGAAGTGTAATCGTAAAATAAATTTAACTGAAGTTTTTTGTGAATATCTCTGAAACTAAAGCCAAGGTCATGTGTATAAAGAAAAATTGTGTTCAGAATGTTGACAATATATTTCAAACTCACCAAAATCGGTGAGAAATCCTCTAATCTAAATAATCTAAATAATAACCCTGTGATGTTTCAAACGAAATATTCGTCTCGATACTTTCCGATAAATAAAGTTTATATTCTATTATTTCTCCGCCATAATGTTTGTCTTTTTTTTCACTTACCTGCTCACGTTGTATTTGAACGCTGCTTTTATCTTTTCACCGTTTCGAGAAAAACACGGCTACCGAAGCACGACAGCAGCTCTCGACACAATATGCTTTGGAAAATCGGCCGACACGACCTTGGTATCGTCGACTGTAGCTCGCGGAGAAAGATATTAATTTAACACTGTTACTTAATAACAAAAAAGCCACTTTATTCACACTACTGACGCTAATTAGAATAATGCGGTAAAGTATTATGCTAAATGATTAATGTCACAACTTTTCCCTCGAATGTCTCCGACAATTTTTCGTTAATTAGACGAACCGCACTCTCTCACGCTTCCGAACAGTATGCCTTCCCGATCAAGAGCGGGAGCCTCGCTACGGCAGGCGGAACTGGCTGTTATTGCGAAAATTCTAGCGAGCTCCAGAAAGAATTTTACACGTGATTATCAGCTGATTCATTATATACGCGCGCAAGAACGCTTTTGTCGCGTGGCGCGCCGACCCGGCTTTCCAGCAAGTGACGCCACCGCACGGTCGATACTTTGCAGAGTACCGATTATTGTAAACAACTTTAACAAATGGTACGCAACTTCTTCGGCTTGTCGGGTGTTTAATGTTCTGAATAAACTTCGTAAGATGATTTTGATAAATCATTATGAATTTGTAATCATCGTCTGCTTGTGATTGCATGTCAATCAGATCGATTTGACGACGCATAAAAACTTGGCGCGCCTCAACTATAAACTGAAATTATATTTATTTGCGACAGTCTGATGTACAATAGCTACTCAGTAGCTTTTGTTTTGATGTTGAAATAAATTGCAAATAGCTGTAAAGCTCGCGCGTAGGATATGTCTATCTGCAGTTTGTAAATAGTTTGCACGCGCACGTAAGACAGGTTTGTCTGTAGACTTATTCTAGTAATAAATATAATCTTACCAAAAAAATATACAGTCAAACCTCGATAACTCGAATCTCTATAACTCGAAAACCTCTATAGAACGAAAATTTTGTTCATTCCCTTGCGCTCCGCGGAAAGGAAGAACGAACTTTGATAAGTCGAAACCTCTACAACTCGACGATTTTAGCTCTTCCCTTGAGATGTGAGTTATCGAGGTTCGACTGTAGGTAAGTATTTAAGATTAGTTAATAATCACGGAAAAAAAGGTAAGGCATATACTCTTACTAGTGACATAATTATGTTTTATTGTATATTGTTTTTCTATTCTATAATGTTTTCTATTGTATATTGTTTTTCAACAATGTAATAACGTACAAAAGTTTACTTGGTGCTACTTTTTGATATCACTTCTTTTGTAAAACAGGTTTTTAGAAAAAAAATGTTTTGTAGTACATAATTTTGTAAAACATTTATAAAGTTTTATAGAGAGAAAGAATTTTTTTTATAATAATAATAAAAACTGACTTAAATGTTTCTTGTATAAATAAAAAATATTAGTGAAAAACAGTTTGAGTTAAAATTTTTAATTTAAATACAATAGGTTTTGTTCGTGTATTTGGCGCTTGTTCTTACTTTTTTTTGAAAAGGTAAGTTTTATAAGATATCACACATTTTGTAGTATGTACGTTGTAGTTTTATAGTAAACTAAAAAAAGATTTTTTGTGTAAATAATGAAAGACAATTTTTGAGATAAAATTTTTAATTTAAGTTTATTGCTATACGCGTTATTTACATAAAGACAGATTTTATTATGTTTTATAAAATATATTTTCCAGAAAGATTTTATTAAAAAATATTATACTTATATATAGCCTTACATCATTTTTCTTCTCATCAGGATTATATCATTTTATTTAGTAAACCTTTAATTTCACATATTCGTTATTGAAACTATTTGCGATAGTTTCTTAAGTCTATATATGTGTAATACATACACAAAAATTATAAACACTATTTTTATGTATGTACAATTATTCATTTATTTATATATTTTATCGTATATATATGTATATAAGCGCAGTTTTACAAAAGAACACACTTTTTAAAAATAGTACATTATTAGATAAAGCAAATTACGTTATCACCAAAATTGTAATAAAGAAAGTTGTAAAACAATTTGTATTATTTATGTAGCTAGGAAACCGCCATCAACGGGCAAGCAAGTACCGGTGATCATTGAACTTCGGTCGCTCAAAAAGTATACAACTGGATCTATCACTTCGTCAACTTCTGTAATAGTGAAATGTAAGATTGAAAATGATAATCTTTAATAGGAATAGTAATTTTTATGATAAATATCGAGATATAAATCAATAAGTAATAAATTAGAAGTGCAATATATAAAAGTTCAATTAAAAACCTAGTAACAGTTGTACAATTTTTAAATTATTTGTTATTTATTATAGCTTCAAATATTGCGCGCGCATTAAAAAGTTTTTACTTCTTCCGCGTAATAAATTAGATCTAATTAATGTTTATTACAATTTTAATTAGTGTTTATTACAATCATTTATTTACATACCAGCAAATCGACCAAGTGGAATTTTATTGATCATCTCTTGTGCCTTTTGCGGATCACTCCAGCCCAATTTTCCCATTTCCGTTAGCACAACCGTAGGACTGACAGAGTTGACTCTTATGTTGTGCGGACCGAGTTCAAGAGCCATTGTTCTGCAAATATAATATAAACAAATAGAATATTACAATCATTATATTTATATATATTTGTATATAATTGTGAAACTTCGAAGAATTATACAATATTATTTTGTTTGGCAATTAGTATTATCAATTTTCATGAGTTGGTTATTAGCTGAATTTTTTTTATATGAGACGTAATATATGCATACAAATTTTTTTCTTTTTATTAAACTTTAGGGAAGAACCAAATCATTAACTGAATTTAATTCTGATGATATCTGTTTCGAAAATTATCTTACTTTGTCAACATATCTACAGCGCCTTTAGATGCGCAATAAACACAGTGATTTTTTAAAGCCACTTGACCAGCTTGCGACGATATATTCACAATGCTGCCTCTGGTTTTTCGCTCGATCATGTTCTTAGCTACAATCTGGGACACGTTCAGTATAGCCTTCACATTTACGTCAAAAATCAGATCAAATTCGTCAGACGTGGCATCTAAGAACGGTGAAAGAACTGCGACACCGGCATTGTTAACTAACAGATCGATTGGCAGAATATTTTCAACAGCTTTCCGAGTTGCTTTCCAATCACGGAGATCGACACAGATCGATTGAATCTTTGGGTCGATTGCCACTAAATTATCCAAATTCTCTTTCGTTTTTGAAATTGCGAATATCTGTCCTTTGTACTTGGACAAACGTAGAACTAGTTCTTTACCAATGCCTGTTTAATCAATGTTGTAAATAAAGTTTCTTATTATACAAAATAAAACAAAAAACTTCGTGAACAACCTTTTTTATTCAAAGGACAAACATCTTTTATTAAAAAAAAGTCAAAGGTGTCTTTTATACAAACAAGAATTTTTTTAAACTAGCTTTTTAGTATTCAAAACAGTCTGCTTTTAAATTATTCTTATCAGTACTGAGTAAAATTATGTATTAAGAAAGATTGTGTAGTAAATTTTTTTTAATTTTCTGTCTGTGATAAGAATTAGTGTATATCTTCACAGTCATAAAAACATCGAATATATCTAAATAATTATTATACTTTTAGTAAAAACTTGCTAGGAATAGTGTACTGATTCTTATCACAGACAGAAAATAAAATAACTTGCTGTACAATTTTACTTAATGCATAATTTTATTTAATACCGATACATAATTTAAATAATACGATAAATAATTTAAAAGGAGACTGTTTTGAAGACAGAAAATTAAAAAAAACTTGTACATCACACAATTTTATTTAACAGTTTTTTAGTAGAAGATATAATAATAATATATATATATATAAGTAAAAAATAATATAATATAATATTAAATAATATAAGGTAAATATTTACAAAAGGTCACCACCTTCCGATTTGATTGAGCTTGACATGTTGTCAAGGACAGCCCCCCTGCTGCGCCCCCCTGCCTACACGCTTACAACACGAACAAAATGTACATGATGTCGAAAAATAAAAATTTATTTATGAAACTTCTATTGTTTGTAACTTTTTAATAAACAATGAGCGACGGCTAAAACTTTTCGATTGTTACTCAAGGAGGTGTCCTTGACAACATATGTCAAGCTCATTCAAATCAGAGGGTGTGGTGACTTTTTGTAAATATTTACTTATAATGTTTGGAAAAAGTCCGTTGAAAGTCGCACTAACGCAGGCTACGAATTTACTGTTCTTTTAATGATGTAATAGAACTTGTTGATTGGTTGCATTGCATTAATTGGATGTGATTCGTTATTATTTGTTTTCCTAAGCAGCACGTCGCGTGTAATGCAACTTAATGTGTAATAAGGCTGCGTTCGGGGAGCACGCTATAGCGCAATTGCGTCATTCTATCTTTGTTTTACATCTAATGAGCAATAAAGATAGAATGATGCAACAGCGCTGATAACACGCTCCCCGCCTAAGTAAATAAATTATTGTACAACAAGACAAAAATCACTGACGAAAATGGAATATTTACACATACAACCATATAATTGATCAAAAAACAAACTAAAGAAAATGCAAAAACAAAATTGACGTAACAGTTCACGGGTAGTATAAATTTAGAAGTATAAATTTAATTTTACAATAAATTTTAATTTTGCAATAAATTAACCACTACCACCGGTAAATTATAACTGTTACGTTAATTTTGTTTTTAAATACAAGCAGATAATTTAATTAACTAACTTACATTTTGTAAATAAAATTTAAATAACATTTTAAAGTTTAATTGTGCAAAAGTATATAACATACCTTGTCCAGCACCAGTTACGAGTATACGCTTTCCTTCAAAATTAATATTCATGACTGTTGGTCGACTATCGTATAATGACGCTTGTAATATAAATATACGCTTTTATGTTGATTGCAGTCGAACTTTGCTTTTTTTAGTGCTCTTCGTCCTCGTCAATGTTTATGAGCATTGAGCAATAAGCACACTGAATCACTGATACGATCTTGATTCATTCTATTCCTACGCATGCTCGCATGGTCACGTGAAACATGTGGTAAATATGAAAGACAAAAACCGACACAAAGTGGAATATTTAAAAAACGACTGCACGGAATGCAAAAAGTCTGGATTGATTTCTGACCAAAGTGTATTTTTCGCAATGGATTTTTTAAATGGGTAATTTTATATATTTCAGATCCAAATTGAGCATCTTAGATGAGATTTCGAATTAAAATCAATTCAAATTTTTAAATGTATTAATTCACACACATGTTTAAAAATATATTCGTACATTTGGCATATTGGCATATTGATCTTAAACTATCTGCTACTTAGAATATCTAAAATTCAAGTTATGATCCAAATGATAAGTAAGTGAACATGAATAAATATTTAGAATAGAAAAACTGTGCAAAACGGGATTCTAAAAAAAAAATTTGACGTAAATGTTACAATGAGAAATAAGTGACTTGGAAATCAGTAGATTACATTCAATTGAATTAAGTACTTCATAATCTTACATATTGAAAAAATAAAACAAACACATAGTCATAATATTGGCACATTTATATAACATAATGCATTTACATTTATTTACAAAAATGCTTTCTAATATATAAAAATATAAAATGCTTTTATATATACATATAACATATATATATTTCATTAAAGTTTAGATCAATAATATGTTTTTATGGCGTGTATATGGCAGATGTGTTTTGACTAAGTTTCCAAATTTGTTATAGCATCTTGCAAAAAATTTGGTAACAAGCAGATCTCTTCGACTAGACAATTATTTCTGTATAAATTCTCATAAGTAGTCATAGTTCGTCTCGATTTTCCGTTTTGGTGGTTGCTGAAGAATTCTGTACGAGGATAGAATCTTCCGTATCACTGATATGTCCATCTTCGCCGGTATAATGCGTCGGATAAACCAGAAGTGGATTTGTCGATAATACAATTAAATCACGAATAGGAAATTGAGCCGCCCACTGTTCCCTGTTGAAAAACACAGTACATGTATATAATATGAGTATTCAGAAATTCGCCGAATCAACCGTAATAAAAGGTAATTACGTAGGATGCGTGTCCGAAAGAATTGGAAGATATTCGTCAACAGGAACCAATTTTGTTAGAGGCATAGCGTCCACTAATTTTTTTGCTCCACGATCTGACAAAATATAACCAAGCGTCCAGTAACTATATCCTGCATAAACCAGAAACTTAGAACCTTTTACCAAACTCTCCGATTTCACCAGTCTTTTTCTTCCTATGTATCTGGATACACAAATAATGTATCTAAATTTATGTAGCATAAATAATGTATCTAAACTTATAAAATAAGCTTTGTTAGAGAAACTTACACTAAATCATATTGATTTCCGAGTGCGGATAGCTCCGCAAGAACATAATCAATTTTCTGTCGAAAGAACGGCTCGAAGCGAACGTCGTCTTCCAGCACCATAACGTTCTTGTAACCGTTCTTGAGAACCTAATATTTACGTTATTTATTTTTAATAATCTCTGTAACAGTTTTTTTTTAATCCAAAATTGTTACATTACTACCTTTTGCCATACGATGTAATGACTTAGAAAGCAGCCAATCTCACCCATCGTCATCGGCCTCTTGTGATAGGGATCCGAGTACTCTGGCATCGGTGTCACGCCCCATTCCTTCAACTTACTTTTGTTCAAAGTTCTAGAATGACAATATAAATGTCGTACAGTAAAATAATAATCTTGAATATTTATTATTGCAACACTTACCTACCATCCACAGCATTAATAATTTCCGCTGAGATACCTAATTCCTTGAAAAGTCTCTGCATTCTTCTGCGTCTCTCTGGTCTTCTTAACAAATTTATCATATATATTTGATCCAGACCTAAAGTGTCCTTTTCCGGATATGACACGAATTCAGCCAGATTGTCCGACAATGGCAAATAGTCATTAAAAGCTGCAAGAAAGTACACATACAAATGTCAATCGACATATTCTACATATAAAAATGTCTTGTATTGTGACAATTTTTTTGTACGAGTGAAATTTAATCTCCATCTCCACTTGCAAGAGATTGAATTTTAAGACATTCGGGAACAATCGTAGATGGAACGATGCCGATTGGTTGTAGAAAAAGTAAGAAAAAACTAGCGCGTAGTGAACACAACGTCTCAATCAGAGGTTCATCCAATTTCTGGGCCAACTAGCTCCAATCGGAGAAGGACCAGGTGATTTCTTCTTTTATGCTCGAGTTAGAAAGGATTGCAGAAAAAAAATTACAAAATAAATCGAGAGCAGAATAGTGCAAATAAGACACAAAACTTGACCAACAGAATTAATTTAACTGACACAAGATAAAACTAAAATAAATTGAATAAGAAAAAAATAAATTTGCACACAAATTGTGATAAGAAACATAAAAAAGAAAAACACACAAATAGTCAAAGGTCTTATACTTACAAACTACTATTGACGAACTAAAGATAAATTGTTCCGCGTAGAATAAATTCCGGCGTCGATGGACTCGCGATGGCAGTGAGGCGTTACGCCAATAATTAATACAAAAAAAATTTTACTGAGATTTAATCTAATAATATTTGGGGGGAGCTTTTTCGAAGATTATGAGGTGCGTTTATCCGAGCAAGCTCCAGAAGTGCTCTTTTGCGACTAGGAAAAGAATCGCAATGATGGGCAGCAATTCTTTCACGTCACATACGATTTATCTAATTTGTAAATTTTTCTAGAAGCAAACTCTTACCTAACATCTCTACTTTTGTATTGATTAATCGTTGCATGTCTTCTACAATGCTTTCCTGTTTCTCTAAAGGCACCATGACAAAACCATAGACTTCGTCGTTACATATAAACAATGGCACATCTACAATAATGTACAAATATAATATTTTATTTATTTATTAAATAAGTACCTCTTACAAAGTTTATACACATACGTAAACTATTGTTAAATTATTCACGGAACTGGTAAAATATTCTATTTTTTAAGTTACTTAAAAATTTAATATAAATCACTTAGATAATATCAAACATTTAATACCTGATTTATTGGCTCCTACAGCAAAAGTTATAATATCGTCTTCAGGTCCGTCGTAGGCAATTAGTTTCTCAGCTTTATAAGTCAGATAATCGGATTCGTATCTTCTTAAATCTATGAGAACTGCGCTGTGGATCATGGGCACATTGTGACATCCAATTTTCTCGCGAAATAAAATCGGCTCGTATAGTTCCGTTCGTATGTAATAATATTCCGGCGTCATACCAGCCCAGAAATTACTGTACATACCATCCGATCTCAGCAAAGGTGACACAACAGTCTGGTTCTTAAAAACCAAACTGCGTAAAGTGTTCGACTTGGTCAAGAAAACATCAGCATCCAACATCTGTTTACAATTTTATTTATTTCTTTGGTAAATGTTTAAATGATCAGAGAGCAGAGAAAGAGAGAGAAAAAGAGAGAGAGAAGGGATAGAAAAAAATATTTAATGAGAAAGTAATACATGCTACATATTCTTGCAATGTGATAACGAGGTTTATCAGATTATAATAGTTTACTGACTGGACATTTAATAGACAATTCAGTAATGCTTATCAAATTAGAAGTCCAATAATCAGTTTTTTGCAAACTAGCACTTATTGACTAGAGCTTGCATTATGCGTTATGCATAATGGCTCTGTTTTTCATTTAAGTTTTAATTGTGTAGTTCACAAATTAATTACATATATTAAATATCTTTCCAGAAGAAAACAAAAAAATATTATTTGAAATATATAATACAATTTTTCTTAGAGAAAAATTATTAAGATGATTTTTTAGAGAGAAATTGTTGTCTTTTTAAAATTATACTCTTACCAAAATAAAATCCGCCCATATTTCTCTTGCATAAACAAGCGCTTGTTCACGCAAATCTATTATATGCCTGAATCGATCAGGCGACCAATCAATTGGATTTTTCTCATCCAGAAATCCTATAGATGTAGCATTCAAGTGAACATTTAAGGAATGATATTTTTCACCTTCTGAATCAATCCATTTATTTAATATCTCTATTGAATTGTCGATATTGTTATCGCTGCGTATCCTGAAATATATTTAATTATAATAGTTTTTTTACATTTTATATTTTATAATTTTTTTTATATATACCTGTATACTTTTATATTTTATATTTTCATTCACTACGTACGCGCGCGCGTGACTTGGAATTAATCTCGATTGATAATGCGTAAATGTGGATGTTAGCGTCTATAATATTCGTAATAATAATAATCATAAATTAATAAATTTAAAAACAATTTTTGTATACTACTTTTTGTACTCGTTCTCTTTTTAACTAGCTTATCATCCGCCTGGTTGCGTTACATTTAAATTTTTGACACACAGTATCAACGCGTAGATTAGGTTAGGGTTAGGTTAGGTTATCGAGATTAAATCGAATCTCACCAAAGACGTATTCGTTTCTTGTCGTAATCTTGTCGCTCCAACAGGCTCAGAAAATATGGCAATGTGTGCGCTTTGTTTCGGATTAGAATCGCAATCAACATAGTCGGATCCTTTGTAATCGTCGTGGTGCACACAGTCAACCACGCAAGATTGACGACGCAACAAAAAAGATTATATTTAAAAAAAAGATTCATTGTGACGCACGTGTAAACAGAGAAACGCGGTTTTTGTTAGCACACGTGTGATTCTTTCATGTGATCGATCGTGTAATCTAAAAAAAAGAAAGAAACACAGATATTACGCGAAAAGACAAACTTAACGTAATGCCCGCTGTTAGAAAATTTGATAGAAAACTAGAAATTAGACGAGTTAGTAAGCCGGGAACACATTTATAGTTTTTTTTACCGGTATATTATTGAATCGCTTCCGGAGCGAATGATGACCGAGTAATGACGTCAGTTCGGCAAATTGATCAATCACATCGTTTAATTTATCAAAATGACGTCGCTAATCACTCCGGAAGCGATTCAATCTCAGTCAGTCGAAAACGTTAAATAAAAGCAATGTAAGATATTTTTTATGTATAGAAAGCGCGGAAGATATCTACCCTAAATGTTTAGACCGAGAGTAGCCTGAGAGCGGCCATCCTATTGTAGTTTCTTTACGACTTTACGACTCTTTGGCTGCTGATTTCAGCGCCATATATTCACAAAAGTTGGTGTAGGAACTACGGAGCGACACCCACTTTCGGGCAGTATGTACAGTAGAGAGCACCATATCGTGCGGCTCCAGGGGAAATATTTTTTGGGAATTTCTCTTTTGGATGCTCTATACTATCGCGCGCCGTTCTTCTTCGNTCTCCGCCAAAGGTCCGAGATCGAAGGAGAAGAGCGCGCAGTAATAGGAGCAGTTAAAGAAGAAATTTCCGAGAAATACTTCCCCTGGAGCCGCACGATATGGTGCTCCCTACTGTATGTATATGTACAGTAGGGAGCACCATATCGTATGCGGTTCTAGAGAAAATATTTCTCGGAAATTGTTTCTCTAGCTGCTCTTATTACCGCGCGCTGTTCTCCTTCGATTTCGAACCGCTGGCGAAGACCGAAGAAGAACGGCGCGCGATGGTAGAAGCAGCCGAAGGAAAAATTCCCGAAAAATACTTTCCCTGGAGCCGCACGATATGGTGCTCCCTACTGTACAATGGAATGTGACCGTTTGTTCTCAATTTAATACAACTTGCTCAACCCGCCCACGGTTATTACTCTGTAAATTATCACAAAAAATGAACGTATATGGGTATATGCAATTGATAAAAGATAAAATAAAAAACTATGCGAAGATCATATACATAGTATACAGAATTAAAATTTTCATATGCACATTTTAGAAAAAATATAATATCCTAAATTTTTCATTTCCCAACAAATTAATTTCAATGTCGAAACGATTTCTAAGTTATACAATTGTTTTTTGCTTCTATAAATTAAAAAAAAATAAATGTAAAAATAAATGTAAAGAAATAAATATAAAAAAATGTATTCTTGACTTGATTTAGTGGTTCAAGAGCCACTCTAAAGTTATTTGCTCGTAAACTAGTCTATTTTTTTTCAACTTTTACAAGTTGAATCACCACTCATTTAAAAATTCAGGACTGTTTCTATCCTAGATGTCATAATTTTGAACAAGTACTATTGCAGTACTGCAATCATTAGATGTAAATGTCACAACGTATTCGTAATTTAAATAATCTTGTGAAAATATAATATGTACACACAAGTTTGCTTTAAGTTTATCATGTATTGTTCCTTTTTCTCTAGTATATAAAAAGTATATATATAAAATTTTTTTTTTTTCAAAATTTGTACAAAATATATCTTAGATAGTTGTACACAATGTATATAGAGCAAGTTTTTTATTTCATCAATAAATTAATTAGAAAAACGTGTCTATACTTCTTTTAGTTATTTTGTCGTGATTTTAATCAGTTTTCTACAGATGAAGTCACTTTTGTTTCTTTCTCTTCTTCGGACTTTATTTTCTTTTTCTGTGCAAAGCTAAGTTTGTTCTTATCAAACTCCAAAATCATTATACCCAAATCTCCACTATATCTATTCTTTGCAACCTGAAAAATAACGACAAATGTATTTTCAATTGATTATACTTTTAAAGTAATAAGAAACTTAATTGGATATATACCTGCAAATATTTTTTTCCTCTTACACTAGTAAGTCTTTTATCTTGTATAATTAATACGTTATCAGCTTCTTGACTCGCTTTGGCACTACCAAAAATAGACAAAGTTGTCAATTCTTCTTCTTTCTCCTTTCTAGGATGTATAACCAATGTGACGTGACAGTTGTACTTTGTAGCAAAGTTTCTGAACTCTGCTATGATTTTGTCTTGTTTCCAATATCTGTAATAGTTATATAGTAATGTAAAATTAAACTCGAGAAAAGAAAACATTAAAATTGTCTTACTTATCAAAATGCTTTGATTCGTCCGATATACCCATCATAAATTGCATATTGTCGATTATCACATGTGCTATGTCGTGCACGTACGTTGCATGCTCAACTGCCTGAAAAAAGAAAAACAAAATTATTTATATGTACTGTTAAATCTATTATTCATAAAAGATTTGATATGTTACATCGTACATCCATAACAACTTTGATGTTTTGCTGACCATGAAAAGTCATAAAGTAAATCGGCAGCTTGTTGAAAGCATCAGCATATGTATTAAATTTATCTAAATTATCTTCCAGAGACACTCCCGCCATTTGTTGCAACATAGTTTTAGCCAGTCGAGCGTTTCTGATTTCAAAACTACCCCAAAGTGTATTGACTCCTTGCATAGCTAAATCTAGCGAGTATTCGCTCATAAATGTAGTTTTGCCACAGCCTAAAAATAAAATATAAATTTTAAAAATAAACATCTTTTGTAATAAGAAAAGCCATTTTTAGTAGACATTCAATGCAATAAAAAATGTTAATATTAATTTTTTTATTCTTTTACCAGTTGGTCCAGTTAGAATTGTAAACTCTCCTCTTCTATGTCCTTTTAAAATTCGATTCAAAGCAGGATATCTTTTCCATTTTACACCTTGAACCTTATCAACATTTTGCAAATCGCATAATACATCTTGCCTGAGATCATCAAAAGTGGTAATACTCTTGTGCCATATCTGTTGCGCATTTGCTAAAATACTTTTAAGATCATAGCCTTTGTCAGCAGCTAACTTTGGTCTGGGTTGCGTGTCGATTGGTCTTACAAAATAGCATCTCTTTTCATTTAATTTTTTAGCGAATTGCTTGGCTGTATTCCAGCTAGGCTCATCATTTCCAAACCACAAGATCAATTTCTTGAAACTTTCTAAACTTGGCAACAACTGTTGTGGCAAGTTCTGCAAATTGTATGGCAAACAGATAATTAAATTCGCTGCTCTTTGAGACACCAATGCCAGTAAGTCATGTATTGTTGGCACAATCACTGCTGTCCCATCGCTCCTGCCACTCTTCAGCTTATACATAATATAACCACCAACATTAGAGACAGGTATAGTTTGCTCTGATTCAATCGACAGAATCTTATAACCAACAATAATATTACCAAAGGCAGTTAAAGGAAAATATAATAATTCTGGTGTGCCTGAATATACACCATTTAATTGTAACATATCTTGCTGTGAAATTTTCTGTAATATTTAATATATATACATACATATAATATATATATATTATTATATAATTACATATGCAAATATTCTTGAAAATTTTAGTTTAGTTATTAACTTGATCATATCTTACTGGAAGAGAAAATGTATGTAGAATGTTTTCATATAAATCTAGAGGTAAATCTGCAATTTTTTTATTGGATTTTGTTATATTCTCCCACTTCAAATCGTATTTGTCACGAACTGTTATGGTATTCTTTAAAGTTTCCAATTCTTTCAATATGTTGCTCGATTTATTTGATCTTATTAATGAAACAAATTTTTCTAATAAGTTCCACTCGCCTTTAGAACAGCATTTCTCACATATAAAATATCCTGTAATAAAATAAATAATTAAGAGAAACGAGTCACCTCAACAATACATTCTTCAAAAACAAAATCATATTTCTCATGGTTTTTTTTTTTTTTTTCATACCTGTTGTTTTATTGATATAAAGTTTTGTTTTTTTAGATTTCTCCACGTCGCAAAAAGGACATTCTATAACTATGCATGTATGTCCTTCTACAATGTTAATTTGTTTTTGTCTTAGAGATTGTTTTATTTGAGATATTGACAATCCTGTTATTGGATCATTTATCATGTTGTCACTTTGATATAAACGACGAAACATGGGACGAAATTTGATATGTCTTCCTGCGCTCAAAGAACGCATTAATAATTTCAGAAACATTGTTTTTTTCGTTTTGAAATTGTATTGATAACAAAATTACTTCGATCATCGTCCGAATGTATCACTTTTATTAGCACAAGAATCGTGTTCTGCGATTTATTTTCAGAGTACGTTTTCTAGTGACACTGATATTACATCTTACTTCTTTGTACATTATTAGTAAAATTGTTTAATATAATTAATTATATAAAATATTATTGCTGATTTCACAATCTTTCACAAATGTTTTGTTTACATGCATACTTTCTACGTTTATTTTTATAACATACAGTTATTGTGGATTTAATTTTATGCGATTTTTGGAGCTAACAATTTCAAGTTGAATATATATAATTGAATATATATAATTGAGTTGTGTTTAATGAAATACAATAACAAAATATATGTCGCAAACGCGGAATTACGCGGAATGGTAAACCGGTGTGACTAACACGTGGTTTGTAATGTAACAGTTAAGTGGATGTTTACCACGTGGAGCGACCAGGGATTGCAACATTTTCGGAAGAGCGCACTTTCTGCACTATTAAATTATTCTATCACTAGTGCAGGCTACCGAATTTGCTGTATTTTTATCTCTCATCTCTCATTAGGGCCCAATTTTTTCACTTCTAGATAAGTTTTCGATAACTTTACCTAAAAGATAAAATATGTTTTTTTTGTACATCTTTATCTAGAGGATATCTATCGAGAGATATAAAGAAATCGGCAGTAGATGTAACAAAAACAAAGAATGACCGAACGTAGCCTTAAGCATGTGTCACACTATATATTGCGTACGTGCGTCGAATCGAGATTGCCGATCGCAGGTCGGAATTTAATCAATCAAGACGATAAAGATTCGAGCTGACTCGTTTTGATTGGCTATGATTGATTCCGATTCGCGATCTGCAACTCCGATCCGATCCGCAATCTGTAGTTGTGACACGGGCTTTATTTCAAATTTATTATCTTGAAGTCAACGCTTTTAAGCGCCGCCTGTCGCTTTCTCTAAAACTAAAGTAGGTCACGTGACATGTAAACTACGCGACAATCACATGTGTGAATAGACAGCGATAGACAGATAGGAGATTCAGGAGCCAACCAAAGAAACAATTTACCATATCTCAGTGTAAATATTTTTGTGATTGGTGTGATTAAAATGGATCGCAAGGATCGTAAACGTTTAGATGACTGGTGCAAGTTTATTGTGCCCAAAATCAATATGGAAAAACTTTTGCCAAAATTGATCGAAAACAAAGTTTATAACAAAGACGATGTAAATATCCAAAGATGGAAAGTGAGTTTGATTACATTAATATTATGTACCAATAAATTAAATTATACGACGTCAAATGTGCATATATGAATGTGATAAACATTTTATATGAAAAATGATGTTTGGATATTGATGATTCACTAGCTGTTACTAGCATCGAATCAAACGATTTATGTATAATAATAATCCGACTAACCAATGTGATTAGCTTTTCTCATCTGCCGTAATGTTTTCTCTTTGTCAAATTTGCTTATTAATGTATAGGTTTTTAAATTATTAATTAATTAAGTATATATACATAGCTATCATAATATATAGAGTGCGTTTGCTTTGTAGACTTACAAGCTTTAAGCATCAGTCTGTTTTCATTATTCTTTAAATATAGAACAAAGACATACTGATGCTCAAAGCGCGTACGCACCTAACATTTTTACTTACTTATAGTTGACATATATATATATATATATATATATATATATATGCTTTAAATGAGAATTGTGGCAGCTAAATGAAAATAAGCTATATTGTTAGCTATATTATTAGTTAAAAGTATATATACATATATATATATATGTATGTTATATATATATTATATATTATATATATACACATATAAATTATATAAGATACATGTTGTATACTGTAGATTATATATGTAATGTGTACTTACAGAAAAACCTCAGTTCAGAAGATACAGTTAAAGAGATATATGTAACAATTAAAACTCGAGGACCACATGCATTTAGAAATTTTATTCTTAGTCTTAGAGAATGTGGTTATGAAGATATAGCTAATATATTGGAAGAAAAAGATCACGTAAATAATTACAATACAAGGTATTATATTATGATGTTACATTAAAACATTAATATAAAGTTTTTTTTATAAATTATATAGTGCTTCCAGGTTTATACATTGAATTGTTCAAATTTCTTAAACTTGAAGATATAGTTGAGTGATAGTAGTTAGTTAATACTTTTACACTTTGAAGTTGTACCAATAATACTTTTTAAACAATGAAAACCATTTTTTGGTGTAACCTTTTTTTTATTGTTAAAATATCTCTTTTCTAGAATTAAGTTTTGAAAAAGTGAAAGAAAACTCAAACAAACTTTCTAACCAGCTTATAGATTTAAATGTTTTTTAGTGCAAAACAAACTTGTGATGATATAACAACTCTGGAAGAAAGAAACAATGTTAACACTAGGTATTTATTATCAGTTGTTAAACAAAACAATAAGGTTAAATGTATCATACAGGCAGTATACATTCATACATAAAACTGTGCCAATAATGCCTCAATAATATTTTAACAAAGAGGCAACTTTACATGCAAAGACATTTATGTCACTCTATTTACTGTACATATAATGAATATTTTTTCTTACAAAAAATATTTAGATTACATTTGACTAAGTAAACACCGTTACAATATTTTTATTGATTTACAATAACAATAAATTGACAAATCATATCTTATCATATTTATAGTATAACAATGTTCCAGTTTTCCAGGACAAGGATTTTGGTGCTCAACAGCTACTGAACCTTTAAAAATTAAAGTACTGAAAGCCAAAAAATTTGTGGATGGTGAATATAACTCTATCGGACGGTATCCCATGCGAAGTAAACCTCGCGGAATGGTTTTATTAATCACAAATATATATTATAACTCACCAGAAGAAAAACCAAGAATTTCTGCAAAGCATGATGAAGATAATTTGAACAAGTTATTTACAGAAATTGGTTTTCAAGTTGTATCATACCAGAACCTGACAGGAGAAGTTAGTCACAAGTTATATATTTTATTCTTACAATATACATATCTAATTAAATTAATATATTTTTATCTGAAATCACATTATATATAAACATTTATATGTATACTTTTGTGTGTGTAAGTGTGGATGTGTAGTTAATATTATTAAACTGTCTTTCTTTTTATTAGCAAATAAGAGATGCAGTAAAAACTTTTTCTAAAAGAGACGATTTGACTAAAGTTGATTCATGTTTTGTGATTGTGACAAGTCACGGTACAGAAGATAAAGAAAATAATACAGAAATTCAGGGAACTGATTATCATAGTGCGAGCAAGCAAACAAATTATGAGAAAGTTCTGTGTTCAGACATTTGTGATTATTTCACAGTAGAATCCTGCCCACAACTAGCAAACAAACCTAAGATATTTGTTTTTCAGTTATGTAGGTACGAGGCTAAAATATTTATAGCTTGACATTGGTTTTTTATTTTTGATCTTACATTTAAAATCAAGAAAAATTATTTTAAAACATCTTAGTAAATTAAAAATATATTACATAAAATCACTTCTATTTACACATACATAATTTTCTTTTTTTTTTCTGTAATTTTTATTCTTTTTATATTTATTAGAGGTAAAAAGAAGCAGAAAGCAGTAATTAATGACAGGATTATGACAGATAGTTGTGCTCCTCCAAACACAAAAACAGATGAATCCAGTTTAGATATATTTCGAAGTCGTTCCACAAGGAATTATTCAGATATGCTTGTAGTTCATTCTACTTTGCCTGGATACGTTTCGTACCGAGATACTATAACTGGCAGTTGGTTTATACAGAATCTTTGCAAAATATTTATGAACCATGCTTGCACAACTCATGTTCAAGATTTATTTAGCCTGGTGATTATATTTAATATTTTACTACAAAATATACAAATATATAAAATAACCTACAGTAGCTACAAGATGTTAATTAATGTGATTTATAGGTTGATTCAGAGTTGAAAAACCTCAGGACGATAAACAATGAATGCCAAACCTCATCTATACAGTCATTGGGATTTCATAAACATTGTTATCTCCATCCTGGCCTTTTTGAAGAATGATTGAATAATCCATAACATCACAGGCCTATAGAAAAAAAAAAACTATCTTTTTTTCATCAGTGTGGATGTAACCTATAACGAATTTGACGATTTGTACTAGTGCGAACTTTGTCGGTGCTACACCTATGCGGCTAGTGGCTTCTTTTCCAGTGCAACAAAATCGTCATATTCAAATAAGCTGCATTATTTTACAGTATTTTTATGTAATATATGTGTAATCTATTAAAATTTATATATTTATACGAGAATATATATATATAATTAAGATAGTATATAATATAATAGATATTAACAGATATTAAATCAGATTTAAGCGAACATGTATATCCCAGAAATTCTCTCTTAATAGTAAGTAAATTTTGTTTTTATTCTGAAACAAATGTTTATTTGTGTTTTATTGTATGATCTTGATACTTTTTTTAATCAAGTAAAATTTGTTTTTAAAAACATCAATAATTTTCTCTTCAAATATCTTTTTTGTACCGAAACTAATACATTTCTATCTTTAGAAATTACTTTATAGAAGCGCAAACAATTTATTTTTTCCTATCAAATCGCAGTTATATTATGTACGGTAGATTCTATTTTATAATACATGTGAATATTTCGAAAAAGAAAACTTTCTTATTTATTCAGACAAAAGTTATATGGCATCATAGAGCTTATATTAATGGAGAGGCTATATGCTAATCATAGAAAGGGCCGCGCGAGGAGCAACAGAGAGATAGATATATTTTGTCTTAACTGTGGCTCCCCCACTCCGTGTTCTGTTATTCTCTTCTATAAAAAGTGCTCACAATTGAAACAGAAAAATATATCTCTCTTTGTCGATCCTCCTTGCGCTCCCATGGCCTCTCCATGAGTATAAGCTCTATGTATGGCATTGAGGGAGAAAATTGATGACGTTATCAATTTAGTTGAAGATAGTGCCACTTTCGAGATTTCATTATGACGGCCATGTTTTAAAATAGAAGTCGACTTTTTCTTAAAATAGAAATTGTAGCTGGCAATGAGATAAATACAATGGTGTTTTATTTTTTGAATTTGAATCATTTTTCACTGTGTAAGTTACAGCGTTCCAAAGTTTACGCACATCCACATAATTTTATTTTATGTGACAACAAAAACGAATTATTAATTATAATTAAAACCAAAAATACAATTTACGGGTGGTAATATTTATAATTATTCAAGTTGCTCATAAAATAATGTCGAATTTATGGTTATTAAACAATACAGCACTACAATGTATGACGGGCAATGCTGTTCTCTACGCGACCCGGTAAAAAATTTTCCATGTATAAATTTGTATGGACATATTCGTCATATAAATTTGCATAATTAGACATAATTATTTTAATTTGTGTATAAGTATATATGATGATATATCAAAAATTTTTTAAAAATATAGTTTTATATAATTTTTTTGTATCTAACATGATACTAATAGAGTTATTTTATAATTTGATATGGAATATCTCTGAAGCCATTCTCTTAAAAAAAGAAATTTTCCATGTATAAAATTGTATGGACATATTTGGCATATAAATTTGCATAATTAGACATAATTATTTTAATTTGTGTATAAGTATATATGAAAAATTTTTTACCGGGGAGTATATTGGAATGTGAAGTTTTTGATGATTAAATTATAATTTTTCTTAAAGATATGATACACATACTTTAACTAGCAACAATTTATACCTGACGCTGGCGTATCAAAAACAAATACTGTATATTCTGTCTGTATACTGTTAACAGTGTTATAACACTTATAAATACAAAAGAAGTGTGAAATATAACATATAAAAACGATTATTCAATTCAAACGGTGAGCCGCTAGAGTGAGCCACTATAGTGGCGCGTCGTTCAGAGAGATGACATCTGCGAAAGCCACTATAGTGTTGCATCGTGTCTAAGAAGATAACAAACTGCATATAAATGAATATATATAAAAGCACTATATAAAAAACTCAATATATATAAGACTATATGTATATAGAAAGCTATATGTATAAAACTCTATGTATGTATAAGACTATATGTGTAAAACTATGAAATATGTAAGAGAAAGCAACTATATATAATTAGTCAATCAGTATTATGAAAGAGATATGTTAATCAATAATAATAATAATAATAATAATAATAATAATAATAACAATAATAATAATAATAATATATGTATATAACAATAACAATAATAACAATAATATATGTGTAACGATGCAAATCGTTACGGCCGGGACCGACCATCCGTCCCGGCCAAAAACGCGGCGCTTTGCGCCAAATAATAACTTGAAACAAGCGTATATTAAAATATACGCTGACAGCCTGCGCGCCGCCCGCACCGCGCGTTTCCCCGCGCCGCGAAACGGCCTACGCGCCGCCCCGCACTGCGCACTTCCCCGCGCCAACAAGCACCAGCTGGTACCGCGCCCGCACCGCGCGCCTCGCCGCGCCACGAAACTGACAGCGACAAACAAATATCCGTTTTCCACGCATCTTTGTCAACCCCCGCCCCGGGGAAAATTCGGGTATAAAAGCCGGCCCGAAAACCGAGGAAAGCAGATCCGCTCCGATCTCCGGAGCCGCCGGGTAAACCGGCACCCGTCCCGCTCCGCTCCCGGGGAATCTTTGGATTCTCCGCCGGGAAAATCGGCATCCCTTCCGCTCGGGGAATCTTCCGATTCTCCGCCGGGAAAACCGGCTCTCTTTCCGCTCCAGGGGGAATCTTGTATTCTCCGCCGGGTAAACCGGCAT